CCCCTTAACAAGTAATCGTACGCACTGACTAGGGTACCGGGTACATCACGTTGGGGAAACGCCAAGTTGTGGTCATTGTCAAATTTGCACCAAGGGAATTGATAATGATTATGTGTTCGATGTACGACTACTGTACCTAGATTGTCTAGATCTAGTTTTTTTTCATAGGACTAATATTGGGCCTATGATCTCTTCCATTTCTTTTTCAAAGCCTCTAAAATAAACCGAGTCCTAATCTAAATCACGAAAGTGCGTTGTTCGTGGAACAAAAAAAAATGCAAAATGATAAATCGCATTGTCCTGGCAGGCAATAAAAGACGGACGCGTTCCGCTTCAACTTGATCTAGATCTACGTTCTTTTTCATTTCAGGAAAGTATTAAAGGCTAACAAATTGATGTTTTTAGAAAAAGATGTATAAAGTTTTCTTTTTACTGGATCTATTTTTTAAGTTTTATTTTAAGCAGAAGTACCGTTACAAAATACATCGTTCATACAATCGCAACGCGACTTTTTGCAACGCAAGATCTAGGCTATTCAGGCTACAAGAAATGGAGGATTCTATTTTCTAGGCGTTTAGTGATTGGTCTGGAATATATCGAAGGTTTTGGAACGGAAGTCGGAAGTCGGATGGTTGAACGTTCATTCAATGATTCAACATGGCTGAATATCTCGCGTCAATTTTTGGCACCGAGAAGGATAAGTATGTTTACTACTGTGAAGACTGGCTTTTTGGACTCTATAAACGATTATTTCAAAGGCTATTGTTTCTGTTAGACTCTACTTTGGTTCTCGATTTCATTAGATCCATTTCTTCACTGAAACATGACCCCCTTTTCTTGAATTTGGATCACAGTGGTGAGAAAAGTGGCCCCTTGGCCTTGCGGTCTTTGCCTTTACTTTGCTCTTTGCTTTACTGTTACTGTTGTCTCCTGGCCCAGGCCAACCCATTTGATTCCTTTAACATCACATCTTATATAGATCTAGATTTAGATCTAGAATATAGGGTGCTTTGTCGGTAGTCCCCCCCCCCAGACCTAGAATCTAGATTTTTGATTATCTAATTTACAGGCCTTCGTAATTTACATTTGGTCATTTGGAAGTGCCAGTGGCGATCGACCTCTCACCACGGGTGAGACTTTCTAGCGTTTGCTATTTTCACCCGCTGTGAAACAAGACCTGTTTTTCCTAATTTCGGAATACTGTCTATCGGTGTGGATGATCAAATTGACAAAAGCTAAGAAAAAATGACGACAAAAGTTTAGTACACCTAGATCTAGATCTAGATCTAGATCTAGATCTAATTTGATTGTTGGCGATTTCGTAGTTTCGTTCGTTAAAGTCAAGAGTAGGGGGTTTTCAGGGGGGCTTTATCTGACCTAGTAAAAATAGGGAGGACTTCAGTAACGAGCGACCACTCTATGAGACAGAGCAGAATTTAGGGGTAGGACTGAGGTTAGGGTTAGGGTTAGGCCTCTTTTTAGATGTTTGAGTTTGGTGGGGTGGTCACTCGTTACAGAAGTCCTTCCTAAAAATATGTAGATCTAGGTGGGGGGGTTTCAGGGGGGAATTTTATCCTAATTTGTTGATGTTTTGCAGTTAGGTTGCATCCCTACTCTTTGTGCAGCCTATTTGAAGTATTTCAAATAGTATTTGGTCATCAAGATTTCTTCTCTGGATGACTAGATGTAAACAAATGGATCCTGGACTTTAATAACCGGAACTACAAGATCACCTGATCGTCTACAAAGTAGGGATGGGCAGGTACCGGTACCCAGTACCGGAACTCCCGGCTCTACCGTAGGAGATGTCAGTACCGACACCTGGCCTCCAGTACCGGCTCTCGGAAGGAGCCAACACCAACGGTTAATACTTGCTCTGAAAAGGAGCCGACGCGACGGGGTTTTTTTTCTTACCGGGCCACAGGAAGTGTGCAGTGTATAGGCCTTGGTCTAGCAGCTGGGGCGGACGTCAGATGCACAACGCAGCGGGTGACCTTGATATAGGACTTCAGATTCAAAAATGACAATCAAAAACGAAGTTTGCTTAAATTTAAAATATAATATATATGGCTTCAAATCAGGTTCCACGTGAGCCACTTTGCTTATTTTAATACACTGATTCCGAAAATGAAATCAATTTTTAGTGGCGGTAACTATTAAAAAAATTCTGCTTGCAAAGTTAAATCCCATGCGGCGGCAAACTTCAAAGGTATTTTGCGTCACAGTTCGCCTCTCCAATTCTGACTGGTGTGTGTGTGGGGGGGCGGGGCGGCGCTGATCGTGGCAATAGACCTAGGTGCAAAGTCTGACGTCACCTACTGGTGTCACTCTCAGTACCGGTACCGGAGCCGATACTGGCAGTTCTCGGCACCTGGTGCTGAGAAAGTACCGACACTGGATTTCGCCGGTACCGTATGGCTATGGCTATTTCACTTTTCGAATCGAGCTTAACTATGCTGGTCGCCATTATGTTTTGCCCGGAAGTTTTTCCAAGATCTACTCCTCCCCTCTCTCTCTGTGTCTCTATCTCTTTCTGAATACTGTCTTATCGGTGTAGACGATTAAATTGACCAGCTGACAAAGTTTTAAAATGATGTTAAAACACAAAAGTAAATTTAGCCTGATTTGGTCATCTACAAAGATGCTATGGCTATATTTAACTTTTCGAATCAAGCCGAACTCCGCAGGTCGCCCTTTTGTTTTGCCCGGAAGTTCTTGCGCTACTCCTGTCTCTCTCTCTTTCTCTCTCTCATTCTCTCTCTCTCTCTCTCTCTCTCTGTCTCTCTCTCTCGCTCGCTCTCTCTCTCCACTGCCCACAGACAAAATTGCAGGCTTTTAGGCTAACAGTAGTTTAACACAAGAGCGCTGGAACGTTTGTTCACGGCACACAATTCTACAATTCTGTTATATTATCACAGTGTAGAATTCTGTGGTTCAGGGTGAATGCTACACCGGTTGGCCTAGGCTATAACAGTGAGCGCACACACCGGGTAAGAATAGCCATAAAAAAGATGGCCTTTACATTTAGATATCTTGATTTCTAGATCTACCTTGACGTTTGATGCGTGGCGAGCTAAGTCAAACCTAACAACTGCAAAACATCAAATTATGGTAAAATTCAGGGGGCATGCCCCCCCTGAAACCCCCCACCATATTTTTATTAGGTCAGAGGCTTCCCCCCCTGAAACCCCCCTACTCTTGGGGTCAAAACGGGTGAATAAGAATTTCGGGGTGGGAATTACCGAAAAAGCGCTAAATCTATCTAGATCTAGAGATCTCTACTGTCCATTTGCTTACAACTTACATCGGCGCCCCTGTACAATTGTGGCGGTCCCTTTTGGGGATACTCGTTTTGACCCACCAACGATTACTTCTGGTTCTAAACAAATACTTTTTGTAGCAATGCCAATGGAAATTTAAATTTTCGCTTTAGCACTTTTTTATTTGGTACCTACGAAAGAATTTTCAATTCTAAGAATTATGCTTCTTGAATTTTAAAAATTGGTCCATAAATAGAAAAAGTTATTAGGTTATAAAGGTTGGCAAAATGTGGATGACCCACATATATCTAAGGAAAATACTCCTAACAGTGGACCACGCAGTAGCAGATTCTGTAAGGTAATCGACGATATCTCAGTAATTAATCGGAGTGTTAGAAAGAAACTTGGCTACCTGATGTGTTTTTGGGTGGAGAAATCATTTCTGCCGTCAGATTTACAAACCATGTCCTAGTTATTTTGTAGTGTGCGTTTTGTTGTCTTTGCCATCAAATCTCTCTGTACGATGACTTTCAGGTTTGAACTTTCACCCATGGTTTGCATTGTTTAGGTTAAAAAGAAGCAAAGTTAGTAGACATGAATGGTAGTTTTTCCTTACACTGCGCAGCTGCAGGTGAGTCTTACTAAGTACGCAAAAACGAGAAATGATGCCTACCGTTCGACATTCTCATGGTTTGCTTGCGCTTCTTCCTTGCCCCCTTGATAGAAGAACGCTTGTTATCTTTTTTATCAATGTTTTGTAGTAAAAATGAATTGAGTATTTGTAAGTAATCTCATTTCTCTAACGTCTTTTTTGTACTGTTTCAGTACTTGTTTTAATTACCTCCAGGATAATTTACTTAGTGTGAAATTTCATCCGTAAAATGGTTTTCCATGTTGTTAACACTCAGCCTTTAGAAGTCATTTTCATTCCCTAGCTCACTCCCCGTTTGTTTTCTTACCATTTCATATACATATATATTCCATTTGGTATTTTTTTAAAGTTCGCCCAACATCACCCTTTAATAAAGTACTATCTTATATCTTATCTTTACTTCATTTTACATAAATTTACAAGTATTAATAGTAACCTGTGAAAAGTTGAAAGATCGTTGAAGTTCAGTAGCTCAACAGATGCGGTGTTCCCGGTCACATCCCGTGATCCTAGGGCACGATATACCATGTAAGATCAAGCTGCTAGTCTTTCCAGGGTAAAACAAGACTTTTGGAAGGTCATATCATGTGTATATGTTTTGCGTGCTCAAGATCTCCAAACAATTCCTTTATTTGAAAAGCCTTTCAGGCTGCTGTCCACACAAAATTTTATAATCAACTCCTGCTAAAAGAACTGAAGCTTCTTTAGTCAGTTATGATATAATGAGTGCCTTTGGTCACTTTGGAAATAACAAGTGGCTGCCTGTCAAGCAAGGGATGATTCTACAATCTATGTGTATGAAACAGCCCTGTACAAAAAAATCAACTGAATTGACTGAGTTGACGGCCTCGCAGTCATTTACCCCCCTGAGCTCTTGAAGGGGTATGGAGAAAAAGAAAAAAAGTAGATGGTGATCATATGAGCTTACGTTGAACGAGTTGTCCGTCAATCATTTCAGGGTTAATTGTTCCTTCTACTTCAAGATTGGTGCTTGCCGTCATGGGGACCGCTGTTCCAGACTCCACAACAGACCCACGTTCAGTCAGGTAAATGCTCATAGAACTGCTTTATATTTTACCTCATAACAGACACATTTTTGAAAAGGGTAAAGGGAGGGGGGGGGGTAACTATGATCTTTGGTAACATCATTTTTTTAAGCATTTCACCTAGCGATGTATTTTTCTCTGAGTCGGTAAGACTGAACAGGAACTGCTTATGACTGTATCATGCCCTTGGAGCAAGGAGCACTGCTGGTATCTGAAAAGCCAAAGAGCGTCGACCAGCAGTGGTATCTAGGTTTCTACAGTCTAGCACACACATAGCGAATATGTGTGTGTTTGTGGAAGAAAATGCAGGACCTGGAAATCTGTTTGCTATGTTCGTGCTATGACGTGTCTTATATACTACTATATACCGTACATGATTTAACATTACCTGTTGTGTGTGAAAGACTAGTGGGAAATGTCTTCTGTCTCCACCGCTCAATATCAGTCGTTAGACACAGTGCTATTATCAGCTACGGGGTTCGAAAGGCACAAAAGTGACTTTCAATTTTTGAAAATGTTTTGGATCTATTGAAAGTTTGATGTCTTCTGCTTCATTTAAGATAAAGATAAACAACTATAATCGACTATAAAAATTTTATTTTGATTTATTTTGGAGGTGTGTGTGGTTTGTTGTGAGCTTGGGTGACGAGATAAAGGAATTTGGACCTTGCTTGTGTGTAGCTGTGAGATTATTTTTTAGAACCATTACCTCATGGCCACCTTTGCTTCAACGTTTGTCATTCGCAACTATTTAAATTTTAGATTTTGACCCCTTTTTGAGCATGAATGGTCTGAAATGTAAACGGCTCTGATTGGTCAAATGGAGTAAAAACGGTAACTTCTAGCTCACTTCAAGCTTATTTACGTAAACAGCTTACTGTGTGGGTGTGCCCTTCTAGCTGTTATCGTCAGTTGATCTTTCAATTTTACACTTTGGTTGACTTTTAAAATATTGTTTTAATTGTGTTTTACTGCTTTTTAAAAATTAATTAACCTTCCTCTAGATCCCTCAAAGCGGACTTCTTACCAAGAGGCCACTGAAGCAGTCTATGTGTGTGTGTGTTGGTGTGTTTGTATGTATGTGTGTGTGTGTTTGTTTGTTTGTTTGTGTGCGTATGTGTATTAGGTAGCGTAAACACATCACGAAAGCAGACTCGCGGCCTTCTGAGCACGTTGTTTCGGTGAAATGGGTGTAATTCAGATCTCTGTTTCTTTGCTCTTTTGCTATAAAACACCAAATGCTGAACACTTTGAAAAAGTTCAGATTTTCTTTGTTACAATAGTATTCGTTGGTTGTTTATCCAGGTTCTTTTTCTATTAGAAAAAAGTCATCGGCTTGGAATTATTTTGCATGAATCCTTCTGCGAAACTACCGGGAGCACTCAGTGTACTGCAGTATTGAGCTGACTCGCTCACCGCAGGGACCGGTGCGGCGCTGGCCGGGACAACGCTCGTTGTTTTTATGGAAATAACGACAGATCATCTGTGTTTGAGGCTATAAAATACTGATTTGTAATGATCTCACAGTCTTGAAAAAAATTGGGCTTCATTTCTTTGTTATAATGTTGTTCTACTCTGTTGATGTAGAGATGTTTGGTGCACTTGATACTCTTTTATTATCTGTCTAACATGGGGTTGCAGCCAGTTAGCGACTTTAGCAATATTTATATTTTGATTATTATGTTAAATTGAAACAACTGCCATTCCGTTACACATTGACTGAGAGGTAAAAGTATGGTACCAAAATTCCCAGGAGACATAGGCCTTTCATATTAAACAGATGAATTTGACATACGGTACAGCTACTTTGAAAATTTAGGATCTGGTACCTAGTATAATGCTTAATATCTTGTTGGATTTGATGTGAAGTCCATTCTCGTTCAAATTTTATTTGGTCCATACATTTTTTTTTTTCTGTGAATGAATAGTTTTTTGCTTTTGTATGTAACCTTGTAGCGGCATAGCCAAGATAACTGCTAAATTTCAAGTCTCTATCTCAATTCTAAGACTCCCATTGCTATGGAAACATGTTGCTCAACATCGGAGGCCATTTTCTCCTTTTCGTGTTTCCTCACCTCGCACAATTGAAATTTCTGTATTTTCGTCAAATATGGTCATATTTACTTGATTCTTGTTTTAAATTGTAGGGAAAAGGTGATAGTTTTTTAAAATAATGTAAACTCAGTTTTGAAATTTCTTTCATATGACTGATATTGACCTGCAGGAACACATATACCATACATGATGTTTTATCGCTACGTGTCGCAGCATGGCAGCTGCTGTGGTTCTGTAGTTTGCGGGCATGATGCGCCAAACAAGTTCAGGGTTTGAGATCAAGCGAAGTTCAAGTTCTTTTTCTCATAATTTTTCAAGTTTTTGAACCTATATGTTCTCATGGGTGATCATGTGCTACCCCTTTGAAGAGTCTTTAAGTTGTATTTTGTGGAAGTGTATGGTTCAGACCTCAGGAGTTAACCCACACACAATTTTCCTCGTTGGGACTAACATTAGGACTCCTTTTTTTTTTTTTAAGGATTTTTACAATGTTGTTTTTCTTTTCTGCATTTTTTTTTTTCTTAATCTTTTCTTTGCTTAATACTTTCATAACAGTAATTCTCTCTCCACAGACAATTTTACTTCAAAACCTGTACCTGAACCCTCAGAACGCAGCTCTCACCGCTGATGGCTCACACAGTAAGTGCGTGGATGGCTCAAGTTGCTCTTTTATTTTAGGAGAAAATCTGTCATTTTCATTTTTAACTTCTCAAGCATTCTTGATATGAGCGGATTATTTTATCAAATTCTTTTAGAAAACTGAAAAATTATCATTGTTAATATTTAATATGATACATTCATCTTTTTTATTTTTTGCCATATCAGAAATAGCTCTGGAATTCCTTTAGACCGTTGAGGATAGGAAAGAAAAGCTGACATTTTTTTTTTTCTTATTTCTGTCTCCCGTAAGATAACTTCGTGGAGGCCGCCACTTTAGGATGGACACCGTAGACTTTTGAAGCCAGTGGGTACCACTTTACAGGTTTGATACAAAGCTCCACTCTAAGAACTGCGAGCTTTCCTGATAGCTCCGTTTGGCTGGTTTTCATGGGGTGTAGTCCTTTCTGTCTTCTATGGAGCAGTCTCTTTGTGTTTTGGGGACCAATAAGTGCTAAAGATTGGTATGCTTTATGGTGTGGTTTGTTCTTTCTACTTTTTATTTTTATTTTGTGAGTTGTTACGGCACTTGCAACACAAATAGTAGTTTTGTAATATGTATGTGTAGAAGATTTGAGGTGCTGCTAGAGCATAACAGAACAAATAAAAGAAGCAGAAGAGATAAGAATGACAGATGTTGGAAAGGAAAGAAGCAAACCACACCAGAACACCTGCCGACGACACATGTTCTTTCTATAAATTTTTTTTTTTTTTTTGCTACTGTAGTCTGTTCCTGGTGAAACATGTCTGTTGTGGTGTCTACTCACAGCCAACCCCATCGCACCATCGTGATCATCATTTAGTTTCTTTTTTCTCTGAAAAGTTTGAAACAACTGAACGAAACAATCTTTGTTGGGTTTTTTTATGTTCTTTTTTCCCCGTCTATTATTCTATTGATATATATCTATATATTTATTTTTTGTTTGTTTGTTTCAGTTGTGCTGGATGATGTACAAGCTCAACAAGAGTATGATGAATTCTTCGAAGAGATTTTTGTGGAACTGGAAGACAAGGTGAGGCAATATTGTCCGTGTCCTGGGCTGGCATTTGCATTGATGTATTGGTGGGTGTTGTTCTGAATAATGTTTCTTTTACACTGGTGGATATGTTGATATTAATGAAAATTTTTGTTCGGTTGTTTGATATGGTAATACTTTAGTGAAGGAAATATCCATTCATTTACCATGAATCAAATAAAAGTGCCTTTGTTTTTATCATTTTTGCCATGTTTGACAGTCTTATTTTAAAGTCTGAAGTTAACTCACAGAAGACGTTTCCCATTGAAAACACGAGATGGCCAATCGGCAAACGCGGGATCGTCATTATCGCCGATAGCAGCTATATAAATGCCGCTGAAAGCATGGGGTGCATAGCCATTTGTTTCAGTCCACACAAAAAATCACAGGAATCTGTCAGTCTTTTTGATCCAGAGTATTTTTAGTAAGGTGTCTGCTAAGACTGCCTGTGTTGTAAATTGCAGATTGTCTATATGGCGTCTGTTATTTTCTTATTCGTAAATTTGTTGAACATAGAATTTTAGACCTCTTTTGAAAAAATCATGACAAATAATCTAGCAGAGATAGAAGCGTTTACCTCGGCATGTTTATTGTTCTTGTGTTGTTCTTGATTGTGTCCAAAGGGCATTGCAGTTTGTTAAGTGGCTCAGGTTTTATATAATTTTGAATGAAAACCTAAAAACCTTCAGTCTTTCGTGCTTGTACATCGTAAAATCCTTCCGTCTTCAGTGAGTTAACGAATTCTGCGGGTCTTCACATGATGTACCTAAATGACTGCTGTGAAAGTTAGTTTCTACTTTTAATACCAAGCACAACCAACTAATTTTTAGTTTTTGTTTGGTATGGGGTTTTACGGCGCTCGCAACTGCATAAGGTCATATGAACGCGCTCGACTAATTTTGATCATTTGTTTGTGTTTTGCCTTGCGCAGTATGGAGAAATTGAAGAGATGAACGTTTGTGACAATCTTGGAGACCACTTGGTGGGGAATGTCTACGTCAGGGTAAGTGTTGGAACATGTTGTATGTTAGGGTAAGTGTTGGAACATGTTGTATGTTAGGGTAAGTGTTGGAACATGTTGTACATGTTAGGGTAAGTGTTGGAACGTGTTGTATGTTAGGGTAAGTGTTGGAACGTGTTGTATGTTAGGGTAAGTGTTGGAACGTGTTGTATGTTAGGGTAAGTGTTGGAATGTGTTGTATGTTAGGGTAAGTGTTGGAATGTGTTGTATGTTAGGGTAAGTGTTGGAACGTGTATGTTAGGCTAAGTGTTAGAACATGTTGTATGTTAGGGTAAGTGTTGGAACATGTTGTATGTTAGGGTAAGTGTTGGAACGTGTACATCAGGGTTAGTGTTGGAATGTACGTCTGGGGTAAGTGTTGGAACATATTGTATGTTAGGGTTACTGTTGGAACGTGTTGTATGTTAGGGTAAGTGTTGGAACGTGTATGTTAGGGTAAGTGTTGGAACATGTTGTATGTTAGCGTAAGTGTTGGAACATGTTGTATGTTAGGGTAAGTGTTGGAACGTGTACGTAAGGGTAAGTGTTGGAACATGTACATATGGGGTAAGTGTCGGAATGTACGTCAGGGTAAGTGTTGGAACGTGTTGTATGCTAGGGTAAGTGTTGAACGTGTACATCAGGGTTAGTGCTGGAGCATGTACAAGAAGGTAAGTGTTGGAACTTGTTGTATGTTAGGGTTACTGTTGGAACGTGTACATCAGGGTTAGTGTTGGAATGTACGTCTGGGGTAAGTGTTGGAACATATTGTATGTTAGGGTTACTGTTGGAACGTGTACATCAGGGTAAGTGTTGGAATGTGTACATCAGGGTTAGTGTTGGAACATGTACAAGAAGGTAAGTGTTGGAACTTGTTCTGTACACCTGCACCGCTTCGCTACTACAGAAGGACCCAACACCATTAAGTTCTCGTGGATACTTTGCGCAGGTTTTCTCCAAAATCTGTTTAGCTCCATGTTCATAATGAAATTGTTGAGGAAAATTCTTTGTACATCATTAATAAATTAACAAATTTTCATCTCATGGTCAACATTCAAACGAATACCACTCACCACGCTTTTTAAAGATTTTGTTTTTACTGGAAGCAATGCCTACAGTTATCGTTGTATTGATGTAAATTGGTGAATAATTTACTGAAGTTGATTAGTATGTCGGTAATGGTTGTGGGGGGGGATTCTAGTGGATGAATGGCGTGTGTCTGCCATTGTAAGCAGGAGAGGGTGAACTTTTGCCTCAAGCATAACATCGTCTCCTTTTGGTTTTAAGATTTTTTTTAGCTATTGGGTGCCGCACAGAAAACTACTGGGGGTTTTTTCCCCTAATTCTGGGGGGGTTAGCACAGTTTCACAAATTACTACAAGCAATGATTGAAGAATAGGGAGGTGGGTCTAGTGAACACTTAGTTCAGGAGTAGTATAACAAGCCAACATTTTTCAAGCTGAGAGTTTCTGGTATTATTTTCGAGCTGAAAGTATCTGTCACTATTTTCAAGCTGAGAGTTTCTGTTACTATGTTCAAGCTAAACTGGATTTTTTATGAGGTTCTGTACTTTTTACGACTAGAGTTCCTGTTAACTGTGTTTCCTCTTGTTTGTCTTGTCAGTTCCACAAGGAGGAGGATGCAGAGAAAGCTGTGTCGGAGCTGAACAACCGCTGGTTCAACCAGAGACCCATCCACTGTGAGCTATCTCCCGTGACAGACTTCAGGGAAGCCTGCTGTCGACAGTACGAGATGGGGTGAGTCCTACACTTACTCTGTCAGCTCTTGATCAACAGAGGACTCCTCAGCCTTCTGTATGATATAGTAGACTTTGTTTGACACTAAATATTCCTGTTGCCTCAAAATTGTTTGGAATTCCGGGGGTTTTTGTTTTTGTTTGTTTGGGATTTTTTTTCTCCTCTTTGTAAGTGACGTAAATACGGCCTCCCGGTCTTTCACCCATAAGTGCGTCAGTGTTGTTGCTGTTTGGTATTCTTCTGTGTGGAACTTTTTCTTCGTGTAATGTAAGACAAAGGTCAGTTTAAGTTCTCTTTTGTGGGTGTTTGGCGGGTGCTCTGGTGTGGTTTGCTTTTTCTTTCCTATCAAACATCTTTCGTCCTTATCTCGCCTCCTCCTTTTTTATGTTTGTTACTCTCTTGTAACACCTCTAATCTTCTGGCGCTCATATGACCTCATGCAGTTGCGAGCGCCGTAAAACCTCTACTAAAACAAATAAGTTCTCTTTTAGAACTTTGGTTTTTGACTGTTCATCCTGTGAATAAAAAAATGATTAATACTAACTTTTGCCTCAACAGAGAATGCACCCGTGGCGGATTCTGTAACTTCATGCACCTGAAACCCATCTCCCGTGAACTGAGGAGAGAGCTGTATGGGCGCAGTGGTCATCGCAAGGGCAAAAAGTGAGTGTGGGTCGTTTTATTAGAATGTATATGGCCTGGTTAGGACGTGCTACGGTGCGGAAGACATTTTTTTATCTAATTTGACGTTGTTTCTTTGTCCACCAAACTTCAGGTTGGTGTGAGTGGGCTACGGTCTTTTCTTTGTACTTATTAGGTTTTCCTGTTATCGTTGTATGTCCTGGAGGAATAGGGCCCTTTTCATGTTTTCTGGTGCTCTGGTGTGGTTTGCTTCTTCTTTCCTATGAAACATCTATCGTCCTTATCTCCCCTTTTTCTTTTTTATGTTTGTTACTCTCTTTTCTTCGTGTAATATAAGACAAAGGTCAGTTGAAGTTCTCTTTTGTGGGTGGTTGGCGGGTGCTCTGGTGTGGTTGGGCGCAGTGGTCATCGCAAGGGCAAAAGTGAGTGTGGGTCGTTTTGTAAGAATGTATATTATGGCTTGATTAGGACGTGCTACGGTGCGGAAGACATTTTAAAAATCTAACTTGACGCTGTTTCTTTGTCCGCCAAACTTCAGGTTGGTGTGAGTGGGCTATGGTCTTTTCTTTTTACTTTATAGGTTTTCCTGTTATCGTTGTATGTCCTGGAGGAATAGGGCCATTTTCATGTTTTCTGATCAAGGCTGTGGAATGTGGGTGGTTGGCGGGTGCTCTGGTGTGGTTTGCTTCTTCTTTCCTATGAAACATCTATCGTCCTTATCTCCCCCATTTTCTTTTTTATGTTTGTTACTCTCTTGTAACACCTCTAATCTTCTGGCGCTCATATGACCTTGTGCAGTTGCGAGCGCCGTAAAACCTCTACTAAACTAAACCTCGTTGAATTCGAGCTCGCTGATTTAACTTTAAGTGCTCGTTGAATCCGGGTTATTTTTATTGATTTTAAAGAAGGAAAAAAAACGGGGAATCCATCTCCTCTCGTTGAATCCAAGTTCCAATGTAGCTCTTTTAAATATGATCAAATTTGCGTCAGTCACTAACTGGCTGCAACCCCATGTTCGACAGATAATAAAAGAGTACCAAGTGCACCAAACATCTCCACATTGACAGAGTACAATCATTATAACATTGATATTTTATGGAGATTAATTTTTTTCAAGACTGTGAGATCATTGTAAATCAGTGTTTTATCGGCAAAAACACCAAGCGCTGACCCGGCCGGCGTCACACCAGTCCCCGCGGTGAGCGAGTCGACTCTATGCTCCAGTGTACTGAATTATCCCTGCGTGGGGGGGAGGGGTCATATGCTTTCCAAGTTTGGGGGAAGGATTGATGCAAAATGATTCCTAGCTGATAACTTTTTTCAGATAGAAAATGAAGTGATCTTCCTATTGGAACCTTTTTTGAGCCAGTATTTTACATATTTGTGTTAAAAATTATCTTTGAAGACTGACGTTTTTTTTTAAACACTTTCTATTTACACGCCAAAGGCCAAAAATATTTTATGGGAAAGCCCTTTCAAAGCTCTACAGTTCTCCGCCAATGGAAAGACAGTATTTAATCATCAATCTTTCTGCTAAGCGTTTGAAATCAGGCGTGTCAATTTTTTAACCGGCCAGCCACACATTCCGACCGTGAGGGGGTTTCGCTTTCCACAGCGATTCTCCAGCTCGTAATAATCATACATATAAACAACTTACAGTGCACCATTGTAATGAAGAAAAGCTGAACTTTTACTAGGTGTACAGCATTTGGTATTTAATAGCGAAATAGAAAAGAAACAGCGATCTGAATGAGCCCGATGTCACTGAGACCATGCGCTCGGAAGGCCGCGGGTGCCTTCGAGGCCAAGTTTATTCTTCCTACTTTCTATGTATGTCATGTATTAATATTAATTTATATATTTTTATACTTCTTATTGCATTGGAAGTCGTATGTGCCACTGGTAGGTTTTATTTCTGTCCTGTCCCTTTATTGTTACAGTCTGTTTAGCGCTGCATGAAGACAACCTTGAGACCATCTTAAGCTAAATCGACCGTCTGCATAGACGAAAAGAGCCATACTTAGCGCTGACCAAGTTTGGTTTTTTTGGTTTTTTTCTAAGGAACTTAAAATAAACGTTATTTTTTTCCAGGTCCAGATCTCGTTCTCCACCAACTAGTAACAACCGTAGAAAGTCCAGTCGTGACCAAGACGACAGAGGCGATCGTGAGAATGGCCGCGACAGATCGGGCAGAGATCGTGAACGGCGAGACCGACGGGAGCGACGAAGGTCGAGGTCACACGATCGTCATGGGAGATACTAAACACAATTTGCGGCCAGATTTAACTACTGTTGTTCTTGGGGGGGGCAAGAGCAGAATTCGGGGAGGGGGAGGGGGAGGGGGGGGTTTCAGTTCATGGGTCAAATGTTCAATTTCATTTCCATGGCGCAAGAACACTGTACCTTTCTTGTTATTGTGCTTACATATATTTTTTTGGTTTATTTGTTGTTGTTTTGTTGTTGTTTTTTATCATAGTAGACTGGCGTTACCTTTGGGTCTGTTTAGTGACATTTTGATAGCGCATACATCTGTAGGGATTGTGTCATACAAAGATTCTGTCCACGGAGGGTCCATTTATGCAAATGATAGACTTTTAGCGTGAGAAACACAGGCATTGATCAATTTTAAGTTCTGTCGTGTATATTTATGTATGTGTTTCAGAAAAAGTCTCTCCCGGCATGTTTGTCTACACTGATATGTCTTTTTCAATGTAATGTTATGCTCCAACAAAAACAATAAAAGTTGTTGTCATTTTTGTATAGCTCTTCATTTAGTTATTTATTTCTTAAACTTAAACTCATGTGTGTGGTTGGCGGGTGCTCTGGTGTTGTTTAGTCCTTTTTTCCTATCAAATCTATTATCCTAATCTCTCCTCTTTTTTTTAAATTTGTTTGTTACTCTCTAGTAAAGACACCTCTATCTTCGACACTTATATAAATGGCCTTATTGTGTTGCAACTGCTTTAAAACTCTTACTGAAACAAACTCCTACTTGAAACACCATGAGACTCGTTTTCATCATCATCATTGCCTTTCTCACCCTGGGTCAGGATATAGGCCACGAACAAACACTCTCCACCTTTCCCTATCCTGGGCTAGTCGCTTAATGTCACTCCACGTCTTCCCACTTTTCTGTACATCCATTTCCGTGACTCTTCTCCAGGTTCCACGAGGTCTTCCCCTTGATCCCCTGTGGGTTCCAATCTAACACTTTTCTTGTTATGCAGCTGCTTGACTTCCTGAGAGTGTGTCCAATCCATCGCCAACTGTTGTTTTGCTTGAAGAAGATGTACAGTGGAAACCATATAGCCTATAACAGGCCCGGTAATAACAGGGATCCGGTAATAACAGGGATTTTTAAAATCCCCGTTTTTTCCTACTCTTTGTCTCTATTAAAAGTTATCGGCAATAACAGGGCCTCATCGGAGCCCAACCGGTTATAACAGGGACAAAGGCTCGTTAACAATGTGTAAAAAGTATGAGAGAGAGGGAGAGAGAGAGAGTAACGCAGTGATGGAGCAAGCCCACGCAAGCCATGCCACTGCAAGCACATGCAGCGTGTGAAGCGAGAGAGGGCTGCAGTGTGCAACACGCACTCATAATGCGTCACCAACGATGTCAAGCGCTAGAGAAAATGCCTTTCAATTGACAAAAATACGAAATAATCCAGACTGTTGACAAAAAGCAAGCTCCACTGGCAGAGATTTGTCGTCAGTTCGACATTCCATAGGGGTTGATTCACACCATTATCAAGGACAGAGAGAAGATAGTGGCAGCATACTCCAATGAAAAGTTTGCTCTGGATCAAAAGAAGATGAGACTACCCGATGCAGATGCCGTGGACCAAGCTCTTCCGATGTGGTTTAAGGAGGCAAGGAGAAAAATGGTGCCAAAACCCCTGTTCGTGGGTACTTGTGGCAAGGGAAACTACCCATGAATAAGTACAGCTGGATTAGTCCACAAATGCTTACTTTCCTTGCATTTCTGATTTAACAGGGATCGGATATAACAGGACATTTTCTCTACTCCCATCATCCCTCTTATATCAGGTTTCCACTGTACAAGTATTAATGATAACTAGTACAATCACCAAATTGTCAGTGTGAAGAGGCGGGTCACAAATAGTGGAACACATCCTTCAGCACTGCTGTCTGTAGCCAGGTTCCCATTTCCTACTGGGTGAAGTGATGAAAACTCATGTAAATTGCCTCAAAGACACAACGTCGGGCCCCACATGGGATTCCAGCCCACGACCTTACGATTGCGAGTCCATACATTCCCTCCTTGTTTCACTATAGTATAGTTTATTAGTAGACTTCTACACCATGTGTTGGTCTATTGAGGGAGTACATATATATAATATATATTATATATTTTTATATATTATGTAGGTAAACAGTGCACTGGAGATAGCCCTCTAGATCTCTATTCATACTGTAGAATCCATATTCAACCAAGTTGATTCTCACAAACAACAAAGTTGCCGAAAAAGCCCACCCCTTTTTAAAAAATAAATATAAATTTTTTTTTACTAAACTGCCTCATTCAAAAAACGCTGCCTATACTATAAAGTACATGAAGATCTATGTTCGCTTTTAAGGCTAACCCAGATTTCGGTGGTTTCCAGAAATCTTGACCAGTACCAAAAGAGGATATTGCCCTACCAATAGGAAAAGTTTGGTTTCATCGGTGGGTGTATTTGTTTGGTCATAGAGAAAACTCTCCTTGTCTTTTAAAGAAACTGAACAAGGGACAAAAACTTTACCTTCGATTTCTCGAAACAGCATTTTTCGGGATAGCCCCCTTGTGCTCAAAAAACGACCGAATAATAAAATTGATACCTCAGTCCCCAGACTTCATTGATTGAATGAAGACTTTATCCCAAACTTTTTGGTAGCCATTCCTCGGGCAAAGTTGACCATGCCGTAAGTTAGAGTACATAATATATATTCTGTCTACATAAATTGAATTTGGAGAGACAAGCTCATGGTTATTCAAAATTGTTGGGCCACCTTCTCTGACCGTTAGACACACCAGTTGATGAAAGAAGATGGAGATGGAACTCTGAGGTTGTTATCGTCAGAATACTTGGATTTACTTGGATCCAGAGCTAGAATCATAGCAGGCGGCGCATGTCCATAGCTGCTCATCTCTCCTTTCCAGCGTCCACCTCAGGGTCATCCTGCTAATTGTTTCCATGAGGAGCTGGTTTGAGACACCCCTGACCACTCCTCGGAGCAAACTTTTTTTCGCTGTGCCCCGCACACACTTTACTTTTATTGTGCTGAGTGTGTGGGAGTCTGTCTCCTCTTGGTTGT